AATAAAAATTAGAGCAGAAATTAATGAACCAGCTATCCCACTACTGGGTATTTATTGAAAGTTCAAAGAGACTTATGTGCCCCTATGTTCACTGAAGCTTGATTCACAATAGCCAAGACATGGAAGCAACACAGATGCCCAAAAATGATGAATGGTTAAAGAAGATGTGGTGTATATAAACAATGGGATATCACTCAGCCATCAAAAAGACAAAATCGTCCCATTTACAACAACATGGATGGACCTTGAGTTTATTATGTTAAGTGAAATAAGCCAGACAGAGAAAGACAAATACCATATAATTTCATTCGTATATAGACGCTAAAGTAACACATGGACAAAGAGAACAGTTTAGTGGTTACCAGAGGGGAAGGGGTTAGGGGGTGGACATAAGGGGTAAACAGGGACATTTATATGGTGACTGACAAATAATAATGCACAACTGAAATTTCACAATGTTGTAAACTATGATGACCTCAATAAAAAACAAAAACAATAAAACAGCTGTAAACCCACAGATCCAAGAAGCTCAGGGAACCCCAAACACAAGAGAAATGGTGAAAAATACACCACAGCACATCTTAAGCACTCCCTTCTCACTGCCCACACATTTAAGAGAAAAAGCAGCCTCCCTTGAGAGCCTGAGAGGAAAAGCGAGGCCTCAAAGGGCAGAGTCAGGCTTCAGGTCTGCCAGGAGGCGGAGGGAGGTAAGCCAGGTGGTTCGAATAGGGAGTCCAGAGGGCATTATGAGAAAGATTTAAAGGGGACATTGGTCAGGGAAGAAAACCCACAGCGAAGTGAGGATGAGAGAAAAACGTCCGTGGCCATTTTCACAGTAGTTCTATCTATTATACTGGGAGATTTAGCTAGCTCTCAGTTTCCCAAAGACTTCCTGATGTTCCTGAGAGCTTTTATTTGTTCAGGACAGCACTTTCCTTCAGGAAATGCGCCTTCTAACCGTGTGTGTCATGTGGGAATCATCTCCTCGATCCCTGTGATTAGAACAGGTGTGGGGAGCTGCTGCAAGCTAGACCACTCCTAGCCCTTCCCCAGGAGTTTTGCCGTTAGGAGCAAGCGCCGAGTCTCATTCCCTTTTCAGTGGCAAAGCTCAAGATGTGCACCTAAAAGTTGCTGGTGGCCGTGATTCCTAAGTTAGCAAGACAGCTAGTCAGGGGAGGGGACAACTAACTGAGGGAGGCCTGACGATGGCATTCCAGTCACTTTCGGTCGTCCCTAAAGCCCTGTGCACCCTGGCCCTTCCCACACTTTGGTCATGTGAACCATTAAATTGCCCCACTTGCCTAAGTTAGTGCAACCAGGATGTTGAACATGCAGGAAACATCAGGGGATAATCACAGCCACCTGCATTTTGTCTCCTTCTCTCCCCTTAAAATGTTTTCAATGTGGGAGGTCCAGAGAGTTTTCTGATATCTCTGAGGTAATAAATGCCCCATGGTCACATTGAGTCACCAATTCCAAAATTAGAGCTTTCACCCTTATGTAATAGTCACAGCTTTCAATTCATTCAAAGCTACAGTGACTCCCCCCCCCCAACCCCCCCCCACCCCCCGCCCCATATTAGGGCTGAGTAACAGCAGGCACCTGACCCAGGGCAGGGGCGGTTTCCTGCTTGTCTTTCTCCTTCCACTCCTCCCCCAGTTGCTGGCTGCTATTTCTGACCTCTCTGGAACTGATGGGGAAGGGAGAGAAAATGTGAGCAGAAAGACATAAGATAGTGAACTGGCAAGTGTTCAACGCTGACTCTTGTGGGGTGCCCTTGTCGGCGTTTTGGAGACTCCCTCTAACTGGGGACCTCTCCCCTGCAGTTACCCTGATGTGGATAGTGCACTTGCCAAAGCCTTGTCACTCACTCCTTCTGCAACTTCTGGGGCTCCCAGTGTCTGCTCCTGCTTCTGTCTGCTGAGGACTTGTCAACCCTCCGGGCAATCTTTTGGAAAGGACCTAAAACAACCCCACACTTGCTCATTCATGCATCCTTTTCTGCAACAAATTCTGGGAGTGCAGGCCAGTTCCAGTGCAGCTCTCTCCTTCACAGCCAGCCCATCTCATGTCCTTTAGGCTTGGCAGGTGGAAGTCAGGCACCTGGCAGTCCACTGTGTTCCCCATTCTTTAAGGGTCATGTGTTAGTTAAGCTTCCCTTGCCAGGCTTGAGTGAGAGACAAGTACTATCCATCCTGCCCTTTAAGGGAGTGGAGTTCATAACACTGTCTCTCCAAGGAAATTCTTGAAAGCCTCTCTCCCTTAATCTCTCACAACCAGTTACTTTTATATTTGGTGTAGGGAGGGCCTTTAGAATTAAAGAACAAGTTTTCAGATACGTCCTTTGAGAATCTGCATGTAAGTCCGGTACATCACTTTAGTGTCTGAAATTTATCATTCTAGAGGCTTGGCTGAAACTTTCTTTTTAGCATCCTGTTAGACCAAATTTGGCTTGGATTTATGACCATTGTGACCAAATAATCCTGATAATAACAGTTGACAAATAGTTATTGAGCATCAACTGTGTGCAGTGACAAAAGAGAAATGTTTCCAGCCCTTATGAGCTGCCAGTCTAGGACAGAGTTTACAAACTGTTAGCCTGCTAGCTGGATCCTGCCTATGGACGTATTTTGGTTGATCCTCATAGTCTTTACATTTTTCTTACAAATTGAGAAATTTGACCTTAAAAAATCCAGATTCTTGGCTTTAAAAAAATTGGAAGATGTTGCAGTGCTGCACCTGCGTTGTTGCCTGGCATAGGTAGCTGGAGCTGGTGGAGGCTGCCCCCTTCGACAGGGCATGGGGTCTCCAGATGGACCCCATTCCCTTTTGGCTCTGTGACCTGAAGCCAGCGCCAGTTGCCATTTATCATCACTGGGCTCACACAATTACCTTTTCTTAAGTTAAAAAATAAAGTGAAAAATTTTTGGTACTTGTGTCTCTGAACAAAAGAGAAAACAACAGATAGTCCAAGAGAGCCTTGGATGGGACTTAATTTCTTTAGAAATGCAGAGTGTTCTTACGTGTTTAATATGCAGTTAGGGTGTATATATACAAGAAAACCCTTAAGATGCCATTGGAAAATAATCCATAGACATAATTATGGTTACTATACAAAAATATATGGTGAAAAAAAGACATTTCAACAGGATTTGTTTTTAATGCAACTGAAATACATGATATGAGCTGCTGCAAGAGGTATTACATTTTCCCACTTCCCTCGTTGATGTTATCCTTTTGCTTGGCCCCTGATATTTGAATTTGCAACAAGGGTTAAACATTCGCCAGCCTCTCTGGAAGGAATCAGCCAAAGCATGGACTCATTGTACTTCCAAGGGAGTCTTTGCTGGGGTCTGAAGAGGAAGAGCAGGATAGTTGCCCCAAGGTTATGACCACATGGGGGAAAGCAACAGGTGTTGACGAGTTCATGAGATTTTGTTTTTCATGGAATGACAAAATAGAATTGTTGAAAGAATATTAAACTTTCAAACTAACTCTTTCTGCAAGTTTTGTTTTCAGTTTATTTTTTAATTGAAACCTTTTTTCTTTTTCTTACTGATTTTTATAAGTCCCTGATATATTAAGCAAAGTCTCTCATGCATTCATCTAAGAGCAAAACCAGAATTATTTTGTGGAAAGGCTTTCACTTGCCCAAGCGTATTCTCTTGGGGAGTAAGCCTTCTGTTGAGTTGTGTGTCCTAGTTGATATCTTCAATTTTAAGAAGAAGAATTATTCTCTCACTGCAGCTCAGCTGCTTATGAAAGCGTGCAAGTCTGGCCTTAATTGGCCTTGCAGAATGGCTCCTGTGAGGTACTTGTCAGTGTGTGTAACTTCTTTCTCTTGGCCATTCATTGCTTAGCAAAGACTGAGTTCCTCAAAAGCTTTGCTGCATGGCCTTTTCCATCCAGTTGTTTGGTCTTGGTATTCTGTTTCATCCTCAGATTAAGCCAGGCCAGCTGAGAACCGCCTTCATAGACCATCTTACTTTGATGTAGCCACTCTCTCTACACACACACACACACACACATGCACACACACGCACACACTTTGCAATCATTTAACAAAGCTATAAGAAACAATCTTATGACTCTTCCTATCATTTTCCTATACAAATATTTTTGAGGACACGGAGGAAACTTCCCTCGAGTCTTAGTGTCAGGAATAGCTATGGCTCTCCTAGTTTATTTTATGGACACTGTAAACCATTTTATCAGTGCTTTGCATTTAGCTTTAGCTATGAGAAATCTTGGGAATAGATCTATAATCCTCCTCCAGCAAGCGCACAGGACCTTAGGACATCCACTTTTGCTATTCTTATCCCGGCTGCACTTCATTATTTTTCCTGTGCTTATTTCCCCTTTGGCCCCCACATTTCTTCTTTTTTAAAATCTCGTACTTCATACAATTTTGTAAAACTGCTTCAACTTCATTTTAGAATGAGGCTAGATATAAAGAACTTAAAATATAAATGATTTATTATTTGTTGAAAACATCTTACCAATTTGTTTTTAGATTTCATTTTAAATTTCCTATTCTTTGCATAGTCAGATCTATCTGTTCTTTGTGATCTTCATGAAGAGGATTGATGCCATGGATTTGAGGACACCGTGGGCTGCCACATCTTTACTCCTTAGTTAACATGGCTGATTTAGCAAAAATTGTGCTTAGAGCTTAGAGGCAACAGGGATTGCTTCTGACTGTCTTTCTTCTTCAGGGTCTAGTTTTGTAGTTTACTAAGTTTCAGTTTTGAGTACCACATTTAAACAGGAAGGCAATTATATATTAGCATAGGACTGGTTGGCCTAGAAGGCATTGAACCTGGTCCTTCACAGACAGGCATTCGGCAAGAGTTTTGTGACTTAAGTTTAGTTGTGGCTTATGTATTTGAATCTGTTCTTTGAAGCAATTGTCTGTCCCCATGGTCTCGGTCTGGGGAATGCAATCTGTTAGTGTCAGCAGTGGCTTGACTTCAGTAACATTTTCTGCTTTTCTTTTTCAGAGTATGATCGATTGGGCTTCCTCTTGAAGCTGGACTCTAAACTGTAAGTAGAATGAGAAAGTTCCTTGACTCTGTGGTGGAGAGATCTGTGAGAGCTGGGGTTCAACCTTGAAGGGTCAGCTCTCAGCACTGCTGTGGTTGTTGGAGGGTTCCCTGGGGCCTCTGTCCTCAGTCTGTCAGCAGAATCCTGGAGCATGTAACAGCCTGCAGGGACCTGGAGAGGATGGAATTGTAGGCACACACGTAAGGCCTTAGATTTGGTTGACACAGGCAGCTCATTGCAGAAGGATCCACTGCCAGGAGTTTGAGGGACACAGAGACCCCTGGAAAGGCTTCTGCTACAGAGTGGAGGATGGTTGAGTCACAGCGAGAGGGTGTGGCCTCTCAAAGATGCTCTGCAGCCTGACATGAAAAGCCTTCCATGATCAGGCCCCTGGCTTCGTCTCCTGCTTTAACTCCTGTCATTCTCCTGCAGGTAAACCCTCTACCTTTGCATATGCTTGTTATCTGTGCCTGAAATCCCCTGTCCTTGCTTGTCTGCTAGGAAAGTTCAGAGACCTCTTCCTCCATACACAGAATTATCTCTTCCTCTATGCTTCCTCTGAATTTTCTACCTCTATCACCAATTATCTCGTTATGCTATAATTAACTGTGTAATATAACTTATTAAGAGCACAGGCTCAGAGCCAGGCCAAGCTTGGTTCAGATCCCAGATTGCCATTTACTCTTCTTATGATTTGGGACAAGCTGCTTAACCACCCTGAGCCTCGTTTCATCTATAAGATGAGGACAGTATACCTACTTCACAATGTTGCTGTAAGGATTTAATTGAAATGAATAATTCATTGGGGCTTTCAAGTAAATGGTATCTAATCCTTCCAGAATCCTTCCCTGTTCTGGCTTCTTGGTCTACTTAGCACCAAAACAGTATTGGCATATGCTTGTTAGGTACTCAGTAAACACTGAACACATGGCTGCACGGATGGATGATAGGTGGATGACTATACACTTCCCCCATTAGACCAGGATGCCTTGAGATTGGACTCTATCCACTCTGAATGTTCCTGCCCTGCACAGGACCTGTCACATGGTTGATGTGCAATCATGGTTGCAAAACTACCTGTCGCTTCTTTCTGTTGTTAGTCGTCTTTGTACACCTGTGTTCCCTGTCTTGTACCAGACAGACGTGACAGATCAGAATTGTGTCTCCTTCCTTTCCTCTCTTGCATGACGCCTTGATCACAGGTGTTTCTTATGGTGATGGTTACCCCTACAAACAAGACATCAAATCTGGGGTATTTGGCTTTCCCACTGAATTGTCTGGCATCCAGACCCTTTTCCTGGCATCTGGCTTCTTAGCTTCTGCAGTCTCATACTGTGAGTTCAGGCATTGTAATTCTCCCAGCTTTTCCATATCATGGAGGTAGCTACAAAGGAAGAATGGTCTGCTGTTTATACCAAGCTAGTGGAGAGATGTCAGCCTCATGTTAACATCTGGGGAGTGAGGCTTGATTACACTAGAAAGCCATAGGCTTCACTCTTAGAAAAGTCTTAATTTAGTGCTCTGGGCGAAAAACAAATCAAGTATAAACTATAAGCCAGTGAACTGACACCAAAACAGAAGAGAAGTAGTAATTACCAAGTTGAATCACATTGATGAACAAAAGACATGTTATCTAGGACATGTTAACTACTGTATTTAAATGTCTTCAACAGCATAAGGAGGGGAATTAGGAGGACATCCTGCCTTGCTGTCCTGACAGTTGGGTGGTGCACAGTAGGCTGTTGTGTAGCTTTCTGTTGTGTACCAGGCTGGTTCCACAATCCATTTGAGTCAACTTAAATGGTCTATAGTGCAGGGAATTGGCTTGCCCTCATTTGATTTATCTCACAACTTAAGGTATGAGCTAGAATTTTCCTGCTTCTTACTGCAAAGGCGTTTCCAATCCAATGCTGTCTTCAGAAGAAAACACAGATAAGTGGGAAGGTTTTTATGTGCTTGCAAGGAGAAGTTTCCAAGTGAAAGCTTCTGTTTGGGAGGGGATAATTCCTTAGCAATGTTCAGATCCCCCTTACGAAGTCTTTCTCTGCTGTGTTGTGTTCTATTTCTAATGTATAGGAGAGGACCTGAACTTGGATCAGAAGAACGGGATTTGAATTCTGCTTCTGCTGCTTAGAATTACATGACCTTAGATAATTCATTTAGCTCTCGGAATCCCAATTTTCTCTTATGAAAAAATGTAGATAATAATACCTACTTTCTAAGGTTTTATGAAGAATAAAAGAAAGGGTCCTATAAAGTATGACTAAGTATATAACTGTAAGAATTTATTCTCATTTAGTTTGACTGGGTTCATTTTAGCTTCTTGAGTATAAGAATTTGTGTGTTCTGGAAAATTTTCAGCTGTCCTCTCTTTAAACACTGCCTCTTCTCCACTCTCTCTCTACTCCTCTTCTGAAACTCTGATTAAATGTTAGACCTTCTCATTCTAGCCTCCACATCTGTTAACTCCTCTTCCATATTTTCTGTCTTTGATCCTTTTCACATTAAACTGGAACCCCATGGACTCAGCATAAGGAAAAATGAGAACTAAACCTGCACACCCAAACCAGGACTGCAGGAAAGGTTGCCAGAGTTCTTGAGTGGATCAGGGCAATAAGTTAATAAAACAGAAACACTTGATATTCACAGCCAGAGTTCTCATCACTCAGGTGATCCATGAACTCAGTTTAGGGTATTCCAGACTGGCCTTTCCTCCAAGCTCCTGGCAGAAGCAAATGCAAACCCTATGATATGAATTCCTCACAAATAACTTTTCAAGGAAATGAGCACCTCACAGTAAAAAATAACTAAGCACAAAAGGAAACAAAGCTCCATTAGTGACAACCATGAAAAACAACAGAAAGCAGAGGAGGACCCATAAAGACTTCTGAAATTGGAATTACCAGACAGTTTATAAAGCAGTTATATATACTATATTTAAGAAATGAAAGACAATGTTGAACTATATACATATATAGGGAACTATAAAATGTAAAATATTAGATTTGAAAAAGAAAGAACTTCCACAGTTGAAAAATACAGTAACCAAAATTAAGAACTCAATAGAAGGATTTAGTAGCCGATTAGATACAGCTGAAGACAGAGCTAGTGAACTGGAAGATGTCAGAAGAAATGATTTATAACAGGAATTGGCCAACTTTTTGTGTAAAAGGCCAAATGGTCAATATTTTAGGGTTTGAGGGGCCTTATTGTCTCTGTTGCAACTACTCAACTTTGCTGCTGTGATATGAAAGCTGCCATAGACAGCACATAGACAAATGAGCATGGCTGTATTCCAATGAAACTTTATTTATGGACACTGAAATTTTAATTTCATAAAATTTGTGTGTGTCATGAAATATTATTCTTCTGACTTTTCCCCCAACCATTAAAAATGTAAAAGGCATTCTTAACTCATAGGCCATACAAAAAACAGATAGTGGGTCAGAGTTGGCCCACGAATCATAGTTGGATGACCCTTAATTGAGAATGCAGCACAGATATATCTGCATGGAAATTGTCTCCCCAACTCAGATGTTTTCTATTCTTGAAATCCTATTATACAGAAATACTCTTAAGATATCTCTCTAGTCAATGATACTCCAAAAATATGGAAATAGACATTTTGGACTTTTTTGTTTCCTCTATATTCTTTTAATTATATCTTTGTGGAATTGTTTTCTATTTCCTTTGGGAAATAGAATAGCAGCAGGGAATTCCCTGCTGCTAGATGACAAAAATCATGTGTCAGCACGATAGATTATTTAGAATAATACTTACATGCAGTGAGCTGCACAAAACCTTGTCTTTTAACTGCAGTCTCTGTTATTCAGAAGGGCAGTATTTTTTGGTGGTTAAAAACCTGGGCTGTGGAGTCAGACTGGATTTTTAAAACTAATTCCATGTCTTGCTAGCAATAATCTTGAGTGAGTTATTTAACTGCTAAGCCTCATTTTCCCACTATAAAATGGGGATGATCGAAGGATGAGTGAGATTCAGCCTATCCTGTACCCCATCAATGTCTGGTAATGAGACTTGGACCTCAGCTTGCCTCCTGTACCGTGCCCTAGATTTCATTTCTTCACTCATTCACTTAGCAAATATTTCTTGAGTACTAACCATGTGCTTTGTAACTGGGATAAAACTGAAAATTCTAAGCCATGTGAATGGCCTCATTAAGCTTGATTGGAAAGAACGTCTTGTAAGCTAAAGTCTTAGCGAATGGGAGGGAGTAAATGAGAACAGCAAGGGAGAGTAAGAGGTAATATTTCAGGATAGCATGAGCAATGAACAGGTTTTTGTTTCTTGTTTTTCAAATAAGGATGACATACTGGTAGTTTGAAAGCAGAAGTGGAGTATAAAGAAATAGGAGAGATCCTCAGGTGCATGAGGTATAGTAGAAAGAGCAGCTTCCATTGCACAGGGATGTAGGGGAAATGGTGTTTCCAGGAGAGATCTGGATTCTGTGAAAGCAGAAGATGGAAGGAACACTCACTGAAGAAGCTGAGGATGTAAAGGAACAGTGCTTCACGGAACACAGTGGAAAGTTAGACTATGGTATGAGGGGAGAGAAGTGGGAACTTGGGCCACAAAGAAGAAGCAGAGAGCAGTGACTTGAGCATGAGAAAAATGACAAGGACTTAATTGAGGGAGTAAACAAGAATAATCAGGATGTGAGGCTACGAGTTGAGTTTTGCTGGCCTCAAGGTTGCTCAAGAATTAATTTTGTGTTCCCCAGGGGTGAGCACTCAGGCTGCTCAGTGCACTCAGCAATAGCCTGACTGGATGATACCCCCAGGGCGGTCAAGTCTGGTTCCTGGGGAGGCTCTGGGTTCTCTGAAAGGAGTCCGCTGTTCAAAGTTGCGGGTCCTGGGGAAAGGCTCAGGGCTACAGGCTGCTGCCCCAACACTGAGGTAAGCACCTCTCGTTCATTCAACAAATTTCTTGAGCAACTACTATGTGTCAGGCAGTATTCTGTGCTCTGAGGATGTACCAGCGAA